TTCCTGTCACACACAGGCACTAAACAAAAGGTAACTCCATGGTATTGGTAAGAGCACACACACACACACACACACACACACACACACACACACACACACACACACATACACACACACACACACACACACACACACACACACTTATGAGTGATAGTGTGCTGTTGCTGTTACTTCCTCCCGCACTGCAGAAACAGACTTTCCCCTGCAGGCATGTGCAGTGAAGACTGAGCAGAAGCCATTCATCTTCTGATTGACACTATCATGTAAACACCAGCTCCATCCATTTAGTCTGTGGTGTCAGAATACACACAGTTTCTAACACCAAGTAGGCAGTGGCTGACGTCCAATCACGAGGCTGTCTGCTTAGTTAGGTGAGTTTGAAAAACAGAAAATTCAATAAAAAAAAATTATTCTTAAACTTCTACATCTAAATCTTAAATGTTTATGACATTAAGGAATACGAAGAAAAAGTACACATTTTTTAAGGGTTTTATTTTATGTGTAATTTTTGCACAACATATGTGCAACACATTTCAAAAAAATGGAAAACATTCAACCACTTTGAGCAGTTTTGTTTTCCCTTAACACTTATTAGACATTCTGGCATTTGGAAAACCAAGCCAGAAGGCAACCAGGGGGTCACTTTTTTTCCCCTTTCTTGTCTGGTAACACATCCTGAGGTGTGAAACATCACTGGGTGCTTTTAGTGGCTTTTTTGGATTCAGAATTGAGTACACAGTGCATAGGTCAGTACTGCAGCCAGACTGGTTCAGAATGTTGTTTCTGAAAAATGCATTCACAACTCTGGGAAAGACGTAAACTATGAGGCAGCAAGAGTTCAACATTCTCTGCTTTACGATTCTGCCATTGCATAAAAGGCGGTAAGCTTTGCTAAGGGGACTGTCACTGTGCCCAGCGTTTGGAGTTGTTGCTAAGACTGTGGGAGATCATGTTCATTGTGAAGCACACAGTGTTCACTGTTCCCCCCTCCCCCCCCCCCCAAAAAAAAAAAACACGTGGAATGTAGATTCAAATGAACCTCTGCACCGTTGATGGTTTATTTTAAGATGACTGCATATCAACACGGCATCCGGATGAGGTTAAGTGTCTTTACTTGCGCTACACTGGGTAGGCCTGCAAGATTTTAGAAAATCATACCATGATGACATTGTTAAATACTGTCATGACTCTCTCAGTTTTGAGAATTCCATGTTTTCCCCACTTTACTCTTGTCTTTCATCTGATATTATGATGCTTCCAGCATCTGAGGCACCACTGTGTGTATCGTTGTGTGACCCTGTACTAACAGTCCAGTCCTAGCACCTGGAATACCATTGTCAGATGTTCACAGCTTGTAGAATATTACAATTGCACAAACTGACCAAGTTTAAACACTTTTTGATTGTTTTCATTTTTAACAAATTAGTTTGTTTTTCTAATAATACTTTTTTTTTTAATCCCCTTATTTAACCAGGTAAACCCCATTGAGATCCAGATCTCATTTTCAAGGGGGACCTGGGCAGAAGTCTGCAGCGCACAGCAACCTGGTTACAAAACAAAATTGATTAATACATATACACAAATACAAACCAGTATAAAACAATTTAAAAACAGTGACACTATTTGAAGGTGTGTGCACAAGACTGACATGACACTGTTATAAACATGACCGAGTTTTCATGAACGTTGTCATGAAGTGTCATTCGGTTAATAATGACACTTTAATGCAACTTTTAATGCAAATTTGTATTACAAGTGTCACCATTAACCAAATGACAGTCCATGACAACAGTCATAAACATTCATGAAAAATCCTTCATGCTTATTATGACAGTGTCATGTCAGTCTTATGCACATCCCTTCAAACAAAGTATTACTGTTTTTCTTTTATACTTTCTGGGATAGTTGCCTTGTTTGAGTTTTGAAATAATTTATCATTATCTTGCTTTATTCCATAAAACAAAGGTAGAATTTCAACACGGTTGTGAGCACTATGTTACCTTCCGATCTGTTTCCTCAGTAGTCTTCCAAAAGGAAGAGAAAAAACAGATTTCCTGTATGCTTACAATGTTGTAGATGTATTTATAGACTTTAAGTGATCACACATAATTTAGAGAAGCCCCAGGACAACTTCTCTGCTCTTCACCTCTTGCCCCCCCTCTTTACTTTCCCTCCTTCCCTTGCAGTGCACTCTGTACTCTCTCTCCCATCCATCTCTCTGTTTTCCTCCATCTGTCTCTTTTGCACCAACCTGTTCTGCCTCCTGTCCTCTCTGTCTGTAGCCTCTATTTCTGACCCTCCCTGGCTCCTTCTGTCTGGCAGTCCAGACAGTAACACACTTGTGTGTTTATTAATTCATGCAAAAGTTGGCTCAACTCCGCAGGCAGGATTTTATACAGCTCAACTTTGTTCTTAAAAAAAGTGCTGGTGTCATAAAACATTACGAGTGACCTATCGACTCCCCCACCTGCCCTTATTTTAATACTCTTTAAGCAAGGTGTCAGAAATGGAACTTAGTCATTTTGCTAGTATGGAGAACTCCGAGTGAAATGATTGGTCACACTACACATATAAATAATTATTCACTGTATTGTTTTGATTTGTTTGTCTTATTTCTGGGTTCTCTGCAGCTGTGTAGGGGGAACAGCAGAAAAGTGTCGACCTGCAAGCAGAGACACGGACCAACAACTGCTCTGAGGATGACACTGGAACTGGACACAAGCTGATGTGGAGCCTTCAGTCCTGTCAGGATCAACATACAGTAGTTGTGTTAAAAAAGTAGTTATGACTTCCCAGCACTGTCCTCCGTTAAAAGCTCTTGTCTCAGCACTATGCACCTCCTTCAAGATTTTGTGTATTTTCGACACTTGTTCAGTTCAGTTTATTTATATAGAGCCAAGTCTCAAGGAACTTTACTCCAAATGGTTATCCTAATATTTAAACAATACAGTCAACTTCAGTTTATTATTCAAACTGGTTAAAATGTTTTCTACCTAGGCAAACCCAGCAGATTGCATTGGGTCAATAAACCTGCAACATTCACTCCTCCTAGGCGAACATGTGGCGACAGTGGATGGTTGCTTGCATTGTGTTGTTGGCATTGCATCAGTCCATTTTACTGAGTATGCATGTGATGACAATGGACAGGAAAACTCCCCTATAACAGGACGAAAGCAGGGCCAGAACCTGAATGGATATCTGCCAGGATGGACTGGGGACTGAGAAAGCAGAGGCTATATCTTCTTTGTGTCTTCATCTACGATTGAAAACACAGCAAAGTAGATATACTCTGAGCCGCTTTTCAAGTTGATGAAAGAGAGATCATAAAGTTATTCACAATAAAAGCTAAGTCAGTGTGTGTGTGTGTGTGCGTGCGTGCGTGTGTGTGCGTGGGTTTTGGGGAGATAGAGGTTAGCGATTTTACAACAGAGCTCTGGATTCAACATGTTTGAATGACACACAACTTTTTATGAACTATATGTGATGCAGCGAGAGCTCTGGTGGATCCAGCTGGACGTTGTCCATAAAACAACAAAAACAAAACAAAACAATCCATCAGCCTTCTACTACTTCCTCTTGTATTCTTCTGCCAGTAGAAACATGTGGCTGTTGACGCTTGAGATATGAAAAAAAATATTTCCATTGCAGTTTTGCAAACTACATCTATTTTGATACGTCCAAAATACACCCATCAAATAGACGTGTTTTTGCTCATTAGAGCAAAAACACTTTTTAAAAAAATCAAAAACATGATTTTGATAACATTTGATTACATTGAGATAATTTATTTTGGTAGTATATTTGCACAAGTTTATGTTTATGGAAACGCAACTAGTGTCACCACTTGTTTGCTCAGGATGAGGGAATAACTTCATACATTATTAACTTTTAACCAATCGACAACTTCTAGATGGGTGTCCACTGTACGTAGCTGAAATTGGAATCTGCCTATATGACTGGACTGTGTTAAATTGATTTAACTACATAACTGGAAACAAATAGGATCTGTTTCTTTTGTAAAGTACCCTGAGATGACGTTTGCTGTGAATTGGTACAAATCACTAAATCATAAATCACTCAATTAATGTGAATTATGGAAGAAAAATCTAAGTTTGAACATCTCTCCCCCAACATTCCAGGTCAAGCTGATAATGTTACTTGTTTTGGTAAAAACAACCTGGTTGAACTAAAAGGGCTGGGATCAAAGGTTACTGTTTGGAGTAAATCTACCCTGAGGGTGCAGTGATGGCAGCAGGGTTATAGTGCCTTGGCAGGCTAAAGCATTAAGAGCTCCTTTCACTGGCACTGAGGCACTAAGCGTAATTTCTCATTAGCAGCCCACATCATAATACCCTCACCACCAAACTTTACATTTCACACACTGCAGTGAGGCAATTACCAGCTACTGAATCCAGACTCATCCACTGGATTTCCAGACAAAGAAGTATGACTAATCTCTCCAGAAACTACATTTCCAAATCTCTATAGCTCGATGATGGTTGGCTTATCCTGCTGCATCCTAGCCTCTGGTGATGGAAGTCTGATATGTAGCTGATGGGCCACAGAAACCATTTCCATGAGGCTCTCTGACTTCTGTTTATGAGTTTATCTGTTGGTGACCTCTACACTCCCTGTGACCCTACTTGCCTCTTTATGCCTGAGTTACTTTTATTCTTAATGGCTTCGGGTTTTAGTTAGATCACCACTAATAGTTGATTGTCCACAATGTATAGATGCTGGATTTGATCCACCTGACTGTGGGATCCCTGAATTCAATGCTTTGAAGGGATAATACAATCTTTATTATAGAGGTTATATTAGAACTCGTTTGTGGTCAACCAGGGGAAAGTCACCCGTTTTAATCCGCAGCTTCTCTATACGCAGCACACTGAGTTGTGGTATGTGCTCACTGCCACGTGTTAGCCATGCATAGAATGGTCATATCCTCTTGACGTGTTCAAGAGGTTATTTGTTCAAGAATGCAAAGTAGACAAGAGCTCTCACTTTGAAGTACTTTATTGATTTTACTTTGTGATTCACTGCATGCAACTGGAAACATTTCAGCTAAATTACACGTCACACACTGTACTGGTCATCACACAAACGACAACAATCTGGAACTCAGTTTCTCGCTTCAGAAGTTGTTACTTTCATCAGCTTCTATCTTCTGATTGAACATCAAATTGTTACATTTCTACAACAGCTCTGTGTGACACAGCGAGAAGAAAAGACAGTACAAGAGGATGTGCTTTATGATTACTGTTGACATTTAGACGAACATCACTGGACAGAACATTACACATCCTGTTAGGGCACAGAACAGGTCCAAGGTGATCGGACTATGGGATTTTAGCAGGCACATTCATATGATTTGATTAAATGCAGTGGTTACTCTGTTTTGCAGGAGGGACTGCCGTTGCTCTTCAGCCATCTAGTTTGTTGTTTCTCTCTCTCTTCAGACTTGATGTTCTGATTCCATGAAATGTGTAGTTTGAAACTTTTGCCCATTTTTAAACTTGTTTTGAATGTCGAACACTTCTCCAAAAACTCCAGTTTTTAGTTTATGTTCAGTTCAAAACACAGCTATTGTCCTCGGTGAGATGAAATCCCATCTGCCATAATTCTTAAACACTGTTTTTAAAATGAAATGAAACCACAAGTTGGTTGTTTCAGTAATCCCTCATTCTGCCAGTCAAACTGGCAGAATCAGAACCAGCCATTCCGGTCATCAAACAGAAACACAATGCAATTAATTTCAGCGCAGCCCAGCCAAAGAAAACAAACACACAATGGATTCAGACTGATTTGCTTCGTTAAAGTGACCTGCTCTCTTTTACACTTTTAAAAATTTTTTTCTATGTAATGAAAGAAACATGTACAGTTAAAATCAAACACAAGCCACATAGAAAGACACATACAACTTTCTTCTCACTGAAATTAAATCAGACCAAGCTTCTCTAGTTTTAGATCAGTTAGAATAATCAAAATTATTTGGATTTGCTAAATGACACAAAAATGAGAGAAAGAGTAAGACGTTTACATGCAGAGTCACTACTTTCTCTCTAAGCAATGAGGAGACGTCCAGAAGTGGTCTAAAAAGGATTTCCATAGGTAGCGCTACCAAATACTGACATTTTTTTAAAGTTTGATTATTATTATTATTATGACATTTTTTGTTTTCCCCTTAATTATTTAATTTTTTCTGACATTTTACTTGTTCAAATAAAGAGAAGTGTTGTCTGATTTAACTTCAGGAAAAAAAAAATGTCTTTTTTATTTGATGTATGTAAACGTCCAGTTTCAACTGTATGGAAATGAGAGCTTCCGTGAGTATTTGAGACCAATTCTGTCAGATTAGAATAGACGCTTCCATACTTTATGACTTCTGCTGCTGTTTGAAGGTCAACATTCTTCATCTGTGCATTTGGGGCTCTAAGAAGTCTGACTGTGGTCACGTCATGCAGTACCATGCAAATAAAATCAGATTTCAGAAAAAAAAAATCAAGTACATTACTGAGCGTCAAAACATGCTGTGCAGACAGAGCCTTAGTGTTCAGTCTACAGCCCAGATCACATGTTACTGATGTTTAGCTTGTATACCTGATGTTATTATTTATGCTATCAGAGCCAATAAATACCTGTGACTTCTAGATACTCATTTCGCTGAACTCACATGAGTCAGACTAATATTTAATTCAAAATGTTCATGTTATTGTGTGGAAGTTGTTTTTTGGTGTAAATACCAATAAATATACAGCTCTGGGGGAAAAAAAAGCTCAGAAATCAATATTTGGTGGAATAACAAGAGTAATACTATAAACCTCTATAAAGAATAAAACTAATAATGTCTTTTGTTATATGAATTGTCCACAGTCACTATATAAATACATATATTTTACTGTGTCTGTCTTTTTAAAAGAAGAGGTTCTGAGCAATCAGAAGAAAGGCATAGTGGTCAGCTGACACAACAATTTAAAAGTTAGATTTAAAAAGATGTGAACAGGATTCAGAGGAGAAGGAAAAAAAACTGTTGAGTTCAGGGCAGATTAAAATAAGATCATGAAAGGACACCGGTGTTAGGACAAAAATAGGACGATGATTGGATCTAAAATGTTAAAGTGCCCAGGAGACGTGTTGTACACAAACACACACTCTGACCATAATGTAAGCTGGTGCTGGCCCTTGAGAAAGGCTGTCCTTTTGCTGAACTCGTGAACACACACTCACACACACACACACAGATCACATGGTGTTCAGGGCGTCCCACTGAGATGAGTAGACTTATGTCATAAAATAAACACACAGCAGTGTCTAACACAGTTAAACTGAAGTTTTAACAAGCATAAGCTTCCCAAGCCAAAATACACATAGAGACACACACATATAGTGGCAAACATACACTGGAGATAAAACCTCCAGGCCTGTCTTGTTTGGATAAGTCTGTTGGTGTCTCTCAGTTGGTCCTCCCATGCTTCTGATACCACAGAGCAGTCGGCAGGTTCTGGCAGCCCTGATACTCTCGCTGCATCTCACTGTCTGTAAGAGGGGGCGTCGCATTACATGGAGCTCCTGCCAGCGTCACGTTTAACAGGCCGGCCCACGGCTCCAAGAGCCGAGACATCCCATCGACCTGACAATAACAGCACAGGTTTAAGAGCAGATCAGTGGAATACCAGAGAAAACGAAACAAAAAAATAAAGCAAATGCACGAAAACTTGCCTTCTCCAGGTGGTCTAACAGGCAAGTGGCAGCACTGATAGAAGACCAGCTGTTATCATCCCATCCCGGGAACAGCCTGTGGGTCTGGTGGGACTGATGCTGGATCAACACTACGTTATGGTGTTTCTGGGAACTCCTTAGCCTTTTGGACAAGACCCCGCTGTAGCTCTGATCCACAAACAGGAGAACCCGAGAGGCCCTGCAGCCAGCCAGGTCAGCCAGCAGTTCGCTCACCGAGTAGCGCTCCTTCAGGTCAGCCTGCTCAGGAAGAGGACAGGAACAGCCATCAAAGCAGCAAAACTGAAACCTCTGCACTGCACCAAGCTCTGTCAGTGGCATTAGGTTGACGTTTCAGATTAATGACTAAAAACAAGAAGTACAAAAGTAAATGTGGGTTTGACGTGTCAGAGTCCATAGAGAGGGGAATATTTGACCAGAGCTCTTATTGGAATGACAAGACAATTTTCCTGTTCAGGTCTGGTATAAAGTTGATCACCTTAGATGCAAAAATAAATGTCCTGTCTGCAACAGACTGTAAACTGTTTTAAATTATATGACACCTGTTGCAGTAAACCTCAGTGTAAGGCCGGAGTACAGTCTTAGATTTGATGCACAGGTCAGCTCAGATGTCAAATCCAGCTTTTTTTTTTTTATCTGAGAAACATAGCCAAAGTAAAACCTTTTCTTTCTCTGCTTCACTATGAAATGTATATTCATGCTTTTATCTGAATTTGCTTAGATCATGCTAAATTGAGCTTTATGTTGGCCTCAGTCACAAGTCACTTTCTAGACTCCAGGTAAATGCTGAAGTGAGAGCACGTTATTCCTGTTTTAGCATCTCCTCTCTGACTTCCAGAACATTTTAGGATTGATTTTAACATTTTGAAATCTCTGCATGTGTCTGTCTGACCTGCTCCAGCTGTTTGTTCCCTCAGTGTCTCTTAGGTCGTATCGGTCGATGTTAGTCGAAATCAAAGAGAAAGTTGAGAGGTGACGGCTCATACTCTGTTACTGCCCCAGAACTGTGGTACGGGTTAACATCACATATCAGACATACTGAGTCTCTTTGTGTTTTTAAGTCTTCTCTTAAAGCTTGATTTTTTATTTATTTGTTTTCCTCACTGGCTTTTAACTCGGCTTGGAGTGTAGGTTTTTACAGCTATTGTCATTCTGGTTGTGGCGGACAACACTTTGGTCAACTGTGTTGTTTTTAAAGTTCTTTATAAATAAAGCTGGAATGGAATGAATGAAAAATGACATTTTAAATTATGTTGGCTATTTAACAGAGCTTTGTCTCCTTTTGAATTAATGAAATTTTGATGTTTTCAATAAGTTTCTTTGAACTTCGTGCAGGGATGTAAGAGCCAGAAAGGGGGTGTGCCTTATAAAATCTTGAAATAATTAGTTCTGACATGAACTGCTAGAAAACAGCTAGTCAGCAGGATTAAGATGTTGGATAGTTTGTATTTCCCTGGTACATTGTGCCACTTTATACCACAACCAAGTAACTATGTTACTTTCAGTTGTTATAGAAGTGCTATATGTATCAAATATGACTTAAAATAAATTTTACTTTGTAATTTAAAGTTTTTAAGTTGGGCCTCTGTGTCTTTAAAAACTCCTGCTCTTTCTGAAACATGTCATCACAACATGGCTCCTCTATTAACCCTTCAACAACATTTTTGTTTACCAATGTTTCACTGAGAAGTAGCTCCTATAATGACTCAGCAGATGCTCAGTCCCACCAAGTGTTTGCTAACTGCTGCTGGCTAGTCTGAAGGAGCTGATTGAGTAAAAAAACATTTTTAGATAATAATACCGTCCCTTTAAAAAAATATATCTCTATATTACATTCCCCTGAATTCAATGCAGTACATTTTTTAAATAATAATAATAATAATAATAATAATAATAATAATAAGCATCATCATCATCATCATCATCATTATTATTATTATTTCATTTGTATTACAATCCCATATTCTTTTATGAGAATATGTTTGAATGTGTGCCTTCAGTTTTCACAGTACTCCATAAGATCTATTGCATCTGATGGAAGCTACTGTAATAAAGAACTTTACAATCACCTGAGGAGGCTGATCTGTCATGATCCGTGTTTCTATGTATTTATTTTAAGGTTTTTCTGTGTTCAGTTTCTGTCCTGAGTCTCTGTTGTTTCTGTGTCTTCCCCGTTGATTTACCCTCCCTGTGTATTTAGTCCCACCTGTTGTCTGTGTTCCTTGTCAGATCCTTCGTTTGTCTGCCTGCCATCACAGTTGAACTGTAAAGTCTTGTGTTGGCTTAGCTTTTTTATTCAGTCCTCTGTTTTTCAGTTGCTACCGGTAATTAGCTGTGTGCTAACTCAGTCCAACACAGGCACAGTAGAGCTTGAGCTCTATTCACTAAATTCATCATTTTCTTCTACAACCTGGGCCTCTGCGTCTCTCCTCACCACCTCCACACACCACCCCTGACATGATCTTTCTTAAAAAGCTGGGGGGCTGCTTCATTTTCGATTTGGGAGCTTATTTAATAACAGAACACAATAATCAGCAGCAAAGTAATAGGCAGTAATATGTTGCAGTAATAAGATCATGTCCTTGCATTCAGCTGTCAGTACATGTACGTCAGGGGATGTCAAAGCAGGTTAAAACTTGGACAGCCCACAGCGTCCCATAGCAGATCAGTCTGTTTGCTATCTGAAGCAGCCAAATCGTTCAATGAAGAGAGTCAAAGTGGCTCTACATTTACATTAATATTTATGTGCCTGCCTCTAATGTTTTTTTTTTTTGTTTTGTTTTGTATTTTTTATAGGCAGCAACCATTGGCTGCTCACAATCCTCCCTCACTATAGCGAGCAATGTGTGTGTGTTGTTTCCGTGTTTCTCTTACGATGCCATTCAGGTTGGCGTCCCACAGCAGCATGGTCCCATCGGTGCGTGTCGGTGAGTTCAGGTACAGAACCAGAGTGTCGGCACAATGCTGCTTCCGGCAAATGTATGACACATGGTTACGGATCACTGCCTTCTCTGTTGCGGAGTAAACGCCCTCTACGTCTTCAGTGCACATAGAAAAGAAAGAAGAGGTTCAGCTCTGATACAGTTTATGAGGTTTTGCTGTGTATTGTGCAGCAAAACACAGCAAATTTATTGCATTTGGTAGAATCTTTATCGGAGATTCTTCCTGTGTCCGTCCAGACAGGGCGAAAGGAAAAAACATCTTCTGTTTTTGAACTGCTTCGTTGCTGAAATGTCCTGCGCAAATAAACTTGATTTGCATGAGTTCTAGTATTTTAACATATGATTCCAGAATAGTTTTCTAGGATTACAACGCCCATGGCTGCAGGAGGTTGGAGTAGCTCTGTTACCCTAGACCTGATTTATTTTTTTGTGTTTTTTTTCGGAGTTTTTTTTTTTTTTTTTTTTTTTGTCATGTCATCTGCTGATGTGGGCCAAAATTGTCAAGTCAAAAGTGCTTCCAGATCATGAAAATGTTGTCTGCAGTATAAACATGTATGCTTTCTGTTTCCAGGTTCTGAAAGAGCTTCCTGAAAACATAAGATGTGTAGAAATTGTCCAGTCACTTAAATCAGGATTGAAATTATTATTGATCACGAATGCTTCCAAGAAAAGGCAAAACCCTACTTCATCAGATTGTCACTTTACTTATTTATATTATTACTATTTTGTGATAAAGTATTATTTGTCCTTTTTTTTGTTGTGCTGCACAACTTTTCCTGTAATTCCTGACTGGTTCTACAACCATTAAATGTTTAATTACAGGATTCTGGGTCTCTGCATATACTTTGACATACTGTAGCTTTCTGTATCCTAGAGCTTGTTCATTTCCTACCTAGAAGCTGTCCACTGCTGGCGAAGAAAGTCTTGATGTGATTTTTATGGAAACCATTGTTTCTGAGCATTTTGTAGAACTTCTCAAGATTCTGAGCGTGATGCTGAAATGTCATCTGAGGCTGCCAACCACCTGTACAGACACACATATAGATACATAAACATACAGGCAGATGGTTAGAGCTACACTTCTCCAGTAAATAACATGTTTATGACATTGAGGAAAATGAGCAGAATCCAATTTGCCTCTGGAGTCCGTTTCAGGTTTTGTTTTGTGTGAAACAGTCCTTTGAGGTACTTTAGATAAGTATCGTCTTATCTAAAGTACCTATCAACTAGCAACATCGTCGTTCCGAATTTCTCCTTCTGTCCACAGACTGGCCCAGTTGAATGTTTCCCAGACAGAATCCAAGAAAGGGGGCGAAACCCCAGACGGTGTTGGATGCCAGACGTTTTTTGAGTGGAACTGCATGGCTACTTTTTAATGTGTCTCTCAGTGAAAGTTGTCTTTGCATCTTGACTTTGTCTCTACCCCGTATTTGTGCCCAAAATGCTGAAATAAGTTAAAAATTCATCAAAACTTCACCAAAACTCGAACTACTTCAGTACCCAGAAGTTGTTGAAGTTATTTCCGATTGTGTCTAAAGATGTTTTAATCGTGTGAGACAGAAGAAACGTATGAACGGTCCAACCTGAGATGAGCACGGCATGGTCACAGGTCTGATAGAGGCGACAGGACAGGTGTGTGGCCAGCGGCTGCTGGTGGCAGCGCCTGGTGTTTTTATTGAGCTCACAGCTTGACACAGGCAGACTGGGAGAGCTCATGGGAAGCTGCTGGGGACACCTGGCAAACTCTGCGCTGTCTGTCGGAGGAGAAAGAGGAAAAGATCAGAACAGGAGAGCCACCACAGGGAAAGGTTGTCAAGTGCCAAAACACACCCTGATCTTTGCAACATACTAGCTGTGTGTTGTTGTTTCTTGTTTGTTTGATTGCATACTGGAAGTTCTTGGTACCCAGAAGTTGTTCTCAAAAGCCTTCGTTACCTGGAAGTTGGTTTGGTTGGACTTGGTCACACCTGAAGCTATTCTGAAGCTAGTAGTGACTAGCAGATCAACTAGTTCAAGTTCAAGTTTACGTTTTACAACTGGGACCATATGCATTAATGGACATTTAATACATGAGATTGTAGCCAGGTGGCTAATTTCCACCTACTGGCAGGTTGCCAAGTCAGAATACTGATATTTTACATTGTTGCCTCAACTTAGTTGTTCATGCTTTTTGGAATATCTGGCGATGTTCATACTCTTATTTTTTTTTTTTCATCCCACACCTTCAGTGCTTGTTTATAAACTACTCCAACTGGTTTTACCACTGTTTTGGGAGCCAATAGCTAACTTGTTTTATAATATGTCATATAAAGTGAAATGATTCCATCAAAGTATAATTTTGTGTTTTCCATTTAACAATAAGTGCTATTGTGTTATAAATGTTGTGTTGTTACATGTTGACACAAACGTTCCTAAAAAATGTTGTCCTAAAAAGAAGTTGAATAATAACAAATCTAAATATACACACAGTTGCTTACTTGAATGGTAAGTCAAACCTACTTTGACTTACCATTCAAAGTAAGTTAGAGAACTGGAAAAATACACGAAAATACAAAAAATAAGAAACAAATATGCAAAACTTTAACAGCACAGAAAGTAACTGCAGAAAATAAAATAAAATATATATTTGAAAAACTACAGTAACTTGGAAGAGTTTAAGCTAAAGAGTGAAAAACAAAACATAGAAACCAGCAGTTTGATAAAATGGCTGCTGGTTTCTTAAATGTTTCCCTACATTGACCTCATGTGGATTTGGTCATTGTAACATCTTAAGATCTATTAATAATACATCGCTGTGGATAAAACAGAGATCATATCGAAATCAAACGTTAGTTTTTATTCTCTTTGCTTAGTTTAAAGTTATAGCTTAGCTATAAATTCTAACCTCAAGTGTACAAACAGCACCTATTTCACACAGAAATTATGTATTAGTCCAGAATGAAGCTACATGGACAACATGTGGGAAAACTCAGCTCCACCCATCTGAATCCTTTGAATTTAAGAGAGAAAGTAGCATCTTTATTTAAATGCTCTTGATTAGCAGAACCTCCTCAGCGTGATGTGAGAGGTCAAAACAAAAGCCGAAGTTTTGTCAGTTCTGCGTTAATACCAGGGCAGAAAGACATCAGTAATGAAAGCAGCTGGTGCTTCTCGTCGGTCTAAAAGGGTTGAACATCCACGTCTAAAATAAAACAGAGGTCAAACTGAATGGGCAGACACATCCGAGGGAAATCTCCCTGATGTCAGATTGTGTAAGGCTCAGAGGAACTGCGAAAAATTAATGAGCTCCATCTCAGCCTCTGCTGGACTCAGTTGGCAGAGGAAATGTTAACATTCATGGGAATAAAATTCAAACGAATTACATGAATTCCTCTGTATCTGAAAAAAAAATTCTTGAGCCAAACAAATTTGTCCAAGAGCTGAAGCTTGACTTTAACTGTCATCAGCAGGACAGTGATCCCAAACGCTGCAGCAAGTCTGGAACAGGCAGGTTCTGGTTTTGGTCCATTATGTGAAAGTCAGACACAGTCAAATCTGTTGGCTGTTTTTATACACTTAGTTAGTTTGCAACATTTACAACTTGAGGATTATTTTATTATATGCACACTGTATTTTCGCTGCATATGTATAGTTTGACAAACACAAACAAGTCTGTGTTACACCAGACAGGGTTGTCATTAAATCTGATTCTGACCCTTTTTGTTACTTTGGGACAAAACGAAGCAAAGTGATGGCATGCTGATTACAGCATGCATGTTGAAACTGAGCCTGTGTTCCCACTGGTACTTCGCTTCCCAGGGCTCGGTTGGTTTTGAGAACATGTGATGTAGAAGAGGGAACTTTTTCAATGTGACGAAGGAACAAGGTGATCCAGAGCCCAGCAGAAAGTAACGGCACTTTACCAAAACCAGGAGCAGCGTTTTAGAAAAGACAACAAATGGAATTTGGTTGCAGACTGTTAGACTACATAAAACAGAAAAAAAAATCATGAAAGCTGATATGAACAAAAAAAAAAAAAAAAAAACATAACAAGGAACAGAGAAACTAAGCAGACAAAAGCCATTAGAAATGTGTTGGCTAAATGGCAGAGTGCAGACCTACCAACACATTTGAGTCTCTGCGTCCAACTGCTGTCTCCGATGGCAACCACCAGTGGCAGAAAGTGAACCTCGCAGAAACCTCCGATGGCTCGTTCCAGCAGGCGGCTGCCGGCGGTGCCTCCACCCAGAGTCCCACCTGCCACCCGTCTGCTGCCAAACAGCCTCTGTGGACCCGTCTGACGGCGCTTCAGCTGGTTCTGGCAGCGACCCTTCAAAGCCAGAGTCAAACACTCGTCTCCTACAGGTGGGGGAAACGTCTTCCAGACTTTAAAGTTTCTCACTGTTTCCTGCGGTCAAATATATATGCTTTGAACCTTCCAAAAGATTTGAGTGATCCTTGATGGAAGGGTTACAAGAGTGTTGAACTGTTCTTAGAAATCCATCCATCATGCCGTGTCTTTGGCATCTTTGGCCTGATGTAACCAAACTGGTACATTCTGGCCCATTATAGCATACAAATGCATGGCACGGGTTTCAGATTTTTGTTTTTAAAAACATTTAAATTGCAGAAATTTGTGGTTGTAATTTACAAAAAAAAAAAAAAAAAAAGGGGAAAGGTTTGAATGTGAATTTCATCAGCATAAAATTATTTTCTTGCTTATAGTTCTATCTTTTTTAAGTAAATTTATGTGGAGGTCTGTCAGATATTGAGAAAGTCATGCAAACCCATTCACTGCAGCCGACCCAGCAGGAGGTACTTTGCAACATGAGCAGATATGAATAATTGACAGAAGTGTGTTCGTGTGACACTGGGGCAAAGTGACCTTAACATCTGGCCTTAACTTTTCTCACAGCAGGAGCTCAGAAACTTTGACACACCTCTGTGTCCCTTCAGATATCTTCTACAGGAATGGATCCTTACTTCGTCTTCTGTTGACTCTCAAGTTTTCTTCCGTAGCAACCAGATCAGCTGGTTTCTATGGAAACAACTGAGCCCAGAAATATCAGGAAACTTATTTAAAAATAATCTGAATGACTACTATATGTAATAGTGTAATAAATCTTTCTGGGAGGAGTGTCTGCATTGAACTTCTACTTTCTTTTTCATGTGACTGAAGCAGGGCTTTTCATTTTGATTGTGAATTTATTCATACTACGTACACAAAGTGTGTAGTTTTGCAAAATTAGCAACAAATGAATATCATGCTGGAAGAGTCACAGCTACACTTACACCTTTCAGGTGCTTTGAGTGCTCTGCTGTTCAATTAAAATATTCATTTACCTCCTTCACAAGGTCTACAGTCCGGTCTTTATAAACTGGCTTTTTGTGGCTGAATACTGAAGGCTCACCTCTCAGCTTAAATGTGTATGATGAAACTATATATAAAGAACCCTTACAGGCGTCACTAGAAAAAAAAAAAAGTTGAATTATGAAAAAAGCCCAACCACAGATCTATGAAGACATGACATATGGTTTTAGGGTCTAAACTGGAAGTGATTGTGTTTTTGGACAGGCAACTTCTAGATGCAGTCCAACCCACCTAAATTAAATGACTGAATTAGCTAGCCACCAGCCGGTTAGCTTCTACAGTACCGACATCGGACTTCAATTATAATGTGTTTCTGGACACTCGAGGACACATAACAGTGGAATCAGCCGTTCTCATTCACGTTCACACACAGTGTCAAGCTGCAGAACCGTCTGTCCTTCCTACCACCATCAGCAGGCCAAGTGTGTGAAGTTGTCTTTACACAAGCACAGAAATGGACAGAGCAGGGGCTCAAACCGGCAACCCACCGAACACGAGACAAACTCCTCCCACCACTGAGTGACTGACCACAAATACACAAGTTTAAGATTTTGATTTGGAAAAATATCTGAAAACCTTTTATAGTTTCCTTCCACTTTGAAGTTATGCATAGCTTTGTGTTGCTCTAGCACACAAAAGACCAATAAAACACAATAAAGTTTTTTAATTTAATGTGACCAGATGTGAGGGGGGGAAAAAAAGAAATAAACTTTTTGCAGGGCATTGTATTGAACCACAAGTTAAATTCTGTCACAGCTTTAATTGAACAGTCGATCTAACTGTTCAACAAAAGCAGAAATTAACAATATAGTAGATGCTGGGTTCGCATACAGAAAACATCGTCAGAGAAGAAGACCAGGATGTTCAACACTCACCCAAGTAAATTCCATCCAGGTGGGAACATTTCTTCTTTGTCACATTCATGTCCACATAAAAGAGAACCACAGGGTGTCCAAAGTTCTCCCCTGGTGATGGATCCAGAACCAGAACAACATCATGGGCAGAGGAACTGTAGAGGGGCTGGTGATGTCTGTTCAGCATCCGCCCAACACTGAAGCTTCCCCTCAGCTTGGAGCTCAGCGTGCCGCTGGAAAAGTCGGGCAGGATGGCCAGGACTTTGTTTGAGGGACCTGGAAGAGCAGAACGTTGCTACTGATCTTTAAAAGCAGCAGACAAATCAGACTGAGGTTCACTGTGCATGACGTCGCCACCATCCATAAAGATTAGATAAATATGATGTGAATATATGCATTTGAATTCTTAATGCATCTGTTACTATCTCATGGGAGTATACGCAGCGCCGATCCTGGCCCGTGGTCCAGATAGCTGCTGCACCTGCTGCTTTAAAATAAAAAGAGTACAGCTTTCCAAAAATAAATACAAGCATAACAGTGGAGATAAAAAAAAGGCTTCTCAAATTTCATTGGCCAACATTAAACCATACATTTGTATCAACTATTTTTTATTCAAAAGTGTTGTCTTTTAATTATTTTGTTGTCCAAATATCGTTTTGCACAGACATAAACGTAGTTTTTAACTTTACAGTTTTACAATTTTTTAAAAAAAGTTGCTTTTTATTTAAAAAAAACAAAAAAGCGAAAAGAGAAAGCAATTGACATAAATGAAAAAAATAATAAAAACATACCACTGTGTTCAAGTACATTGTTAAATACTTCACATTTCAGTCGCAGGGTCATCTCAAGATCTGTGCTCCACTATCAGTGCACTCACACCAAACTCAATCTGGAAACAGAATGCTGGTTCTGTCACCAATTTTTCATCTCCGCTATTTTCAGCTGCAGTTTCTTGTACATCCATTATGGATGATTAAGGATAATTTTCCTCTGTTAACACAAATAGAACTACTGCCAAACAGTCTTGCTTCTCAGACTGACAAGAGTGTTTTCAATTGAAGTTAATAACTGCAATGAAATGAAGTTCGTTGATCATTTCTGAAACAAACTTTTAAAACTAATAACTGGTTTACCGTAATGGCAATACGGTAAACCAGTACCGCACACAAAAGCCCAATAAAACACAGTCGGCTGTAAAAGTGAGCAGCTGTTGTTTGAATGATGCCAGCTGTCTGGTACAGTGCGATGCTTCCATCTGGTCCTACCTGAAGCGCTGCGCTGCTCCGACATGTACACGGCCACAGAGGACAGCGGCAGGTGGCTGAGCCGTCTGCAGTCTGCCTCAGACATGGAGGACATGCGGAGGCAGCGGTCCAGCTGGTCCCACTGCAGCACCTGGAGCCCCGAGCGGACCCAGCGGTCCAGTCGGCTGAGGGCCACGCTGCCCGCAGGGGCCAGAGAGGGAGCAGGATGGAGGATGGAGGAGAGAGCAGCGAGGAGCGTGAGGAGCTGCATGGTCAGCCTCAGCTGTTCCTGTTTGTCCTTAATGGGTTTTCTTCTTTATTGTTGCTTTGTTTCTACACTAATGCTTTGCTTCTGTCATTTCTGCATTTTTTTTACTATTTCTTCTTAAACATTCCAGTTCCAGAGGAATTTTCTTCACTTGTTGTGGAGTCTTCTCTTTTCTTCTTTATGTTTTGTCTTTTCACTTTCTGTTCCTTCAGCTTCTGAATTCTGTCCTTTTACTTTCTTCTTGTTTTTTTATATATTATTAAGAAAATCTCAGATGAGAAATGGATTTGGATTCTCTTCTAAGTTGAAATGCTTCCTTTGCCTCTCTCTTGTTTTATTTTTGTCTTTATTTCATCAGATCTGAACCTGAAGGACAAATGCCCAACAGCATGGTTGGGTGGCAGTAACTGTCCTTCTCCTGCTGTGTCTTTGTTTAAGCCTTCTGTTCTTAGCTTTTATTCATTCTTGGGAGAGAAAAAAAAAAGTTTTGTAGTCTGTGACCAGATTTCGTCTCTCAGTTGTGTTGTCTTTGGTTTGGAACAGTTGCAACAGACAGCAGCATCCTCTCGCTGAATTGTTCCTCTTTTCCCCTTCAACGCTGTTTTGTTCTTGTTGCTTAAAAGAAAAAGAGATCCCAGATTGTCAAAATGAAAACTTTTTTGCTTTGGTCCACTGGTTCTGTCCCTCCTGATCTTTCTTTGGACTCGGAGAAGCTTCAGGATCAGAGCTGGTTCAGAAGAAGTCAGCAAGTCCTCGGCTTTTACAAAGGAGAGTTGTCTGTCCTGCAGGTTGTCCACAGCTGCCTCTACTGCTCACAGTTAGTTTGTCTATCTTTTACTGCTTCTCTCTTTAGCTCTCTCTCTCTGTCCCTCTCTTTCAAAAACACACACACACTTCTCTCCTCCTCTGTCCGTGAGGTTTGACATGCGACAAAGATGGGAAGGAGGAATGATGAGATAACACGATGAAAAAGTCAGAGGGAGGGAGGAAGAGGAAAGAGGAGGAAGGGTTAGACAGAGGGCTGGAAAATAGGTTAAAACATGAGTTAAGTAACCCAAGTGACATGAAGATGTGCAAAGACAGGAAAGATGGGGAGGAAAGGGAGATGGGTGAAGAATTAAGTATCATTACCTGAAATATGGGAAAAATGGGAAAATAAATATAATAAAAATATCCACAGAATGAAGAATGACAGAGGCTTATCAGCAGAGGCTGGCAGACAGAAACACACAAGAACAAATAATTACTAGTTTTTCAGGAAATAGCATTAATAGACTACAGTGTGTCAAAAATGAAAGTCATCACACTTCATTTTCCAGATGTTGTTGTGTCAAAGGAATGGCTTTCATGATGTTTGGAAGACATAGCAAAGCAAACACTGTGATTAAATTATGGAATGAGGAAAAATAAACCAAGTGTGCTTGGATGCTTTTGTGCCGTCATTGTTAAGAGTAAACTAAAGAGACAGAGGAAAAGGAAAATAATCAAGGAGGAAAAGACACACACGATGGAAGGAAACAAGAGAACAAACAGGAAACACATCTCAGTGAAAGGAAGGTAAAAAGTTCATATGAAAAAAGGGGGATAAAAGGGAAAGGATGCTTTAAATTAAAATTGTGACAAGAACTAAAGAAAGCTAAAAATATGAGAACGTGAAACAAATATTTGCGGAATGAAATCTGGGTACAAGAGGAAGAAGATGATAGATTTAAAAAAAAAACTAAGATAGTGAGATAAAGACAACGAGCAAGAAAAAACGGGAACGTTAAAATGGGGAATGTTCATATGCAGCAATACCATCTAGTGGTGAAATCTAAGAATAACAAAAGCAGAAAAAAAGTCTTCGATGTTTGGTTATGTGTCCACTACAGAACAGCATCGTGTTTGAAGGCCAAAAAGCTCCATTGGTCTCTTCAGACCAAGGAATTTATTCCTACTTGCAATGGAGTCTCCCCTATGCCTTCTGGGAGACTATAGTTGCCCCTTGATCTGAGGGGTTTATTTAAATTTCCTATTTTGCATTTTAAAACAAAATTAAACTTCCACATTTTTTTTGTTTTTCATTTAGGCTTTCAAATTACCACTCTTTACCAGTGGGTGGCAGTATTGTAATATTTCAGAACGAAGCAGGAGCGGGTGTTTTTTTTTTTTTTAAGCGCAATAAACGATCTTTGGCTGCGGTGCTGCACTCACAGCTCTTTTCTGTTGTTAAGCGAACTCCAGCTATTTACCTCCTGCCAAAGAAACGAACCGAAATGCTGGGAAACACCGCTGGACATGAAGTCGGTAAGGAAGGGATTTTGTTAACCACCTGAAACGCTGTTGTTTTATATTTTTGAGAACCCTCGCAATAATTGGAGTATCTCGTGTCTGCGTTAAATTGTTGCTAAGCTAACTTCCCGGCGAAGCGGTAAAAACACACCCAGATATCGAAGCTGCTCTGGTAACTGATAATGACTCGGTGGTTGAGTCGTCTTCTTAATTTATTTTATTAAGAGGTAAGGCCTCTCTGACGTGGGCTTGTGATATTTCAACGTGGGAAATATTGTTTACTAGCTCATTTGAAACTAGCGGTGAGGACGCACGTGAGAGTGTTCCCTCCCTGGACACGAGTGGGTGACAGCTGAGAGACAAACGGGAGGTCTGAACATGGTAGACGGGATCATAGACTTTAGGAACCGGGCTCAACCATCTGCAACAGGCAGTGGAGAGGCAGAAGAGCCCTAGGGTGGTCTCTGCATTAGGACCCATACTACAAGGGGGGAAAGGGAAGGTACACGACGTGTTTTGGAGTTAGTGGTAAAATAAAGAAAGTGAGGATTCCTGTCGAGGAGGATAAAGAGTTGCATGATTAGAGGTGAGGGAATCACAGGAGCAGCTTGGAGATAAAAATCAGAAGGAATGGTTGACTAAAAGCAAAGATTCCTCGATGTAAAGGAGAATATACAGATTGTTTATGTGGCAGAGGAAGACGCCATTCTAATTCTTTTCGCCACAATTTGAAGAAAAGAGGTTAATTACACTGTTTACATTGGTAGGTTGTTAAACAATGGCCTTTGGAGCTCAAATCCTCTGTCTAATTATATTCAGTAGTTTCTATGTGTTTTTTCAGTGAAAGTTATCTATTCATAGTTCATGTGTCCATTTCATCTGCATCGTTTCGTACTACTTTCTTATCCTTTGGATTGTTTCAGGGCAGAAGCTGTGCAGCTAAGTGCCTCCCTGGCTTCTATAAGCTCACCTGTCAACTATTGACACCCAGCACACCACTTCCAGTCTGCAGTCGAACACTCCTGACAGGATTTGAGAAGATTTGTCTTAATTCAGCCTGTGTGAGAGCTCAGACGTTGCCCTGAATCCTGGGTGACATTTTGGTGCCAGTGATGAGTGCCGTCGGTGAAGATTCATCAAGAACTTGTTCGTCAAGTTGGAGCTGACGTTGCCAAGTTCTTTCAGCTGAAGAAGAGTCTGCGCAGGGAGTCCTTGGCATCTACCTGTGCTTCTGACGGCAACTAGAACATCTGGAGGCGCTTTGCAACACGCCGCCATGCCCACCAACCAGTCATCGCCGTGGGGCGGAGGGAATCTCAGGCCATGCTCCAACACACATAATGCCCCCACTGCTGCCTTGGTTTCAGGTGCAACCTTTAAATCGTCTTTCAGGCACACTCCACCGGAGCTCCCCAAAGCTACCAGCCTGGACAAACATCTGCCATCTACCGGTGCTTCATCCATGATGTCATCTGTGTGCCCTGTGTGGAAGACAGGCAGTGGAAATGGTTCTAACACCAGGACTCACCACCTTGCATCAGATAAGTCAGCGAAGCAGCCAGAACACCAGAACCGGACTCAGAGACCAAATCAGAACCTGGCAGCGTCAGAACTGAATCGACCTAATGCCAGGATCATGGTACAGGAGGTCCAGCTGAGAGGAGTCACTGAGGGCTGTTTACCAGCCCAGCCCCTTCAGTCTGGAGACGGAGCCGCATTGGTACCTAGTCAGGATTCCACTGACCATGTGCCACTGGAGTCTTCACCAGGTTGTCATGAAGACCTGTTCATCAGAGGACATGCCGCTGTGCCACAAAGCGCCAAGCTGATGGTGAGTGGGTTCATCTCCTGCACTGAGGCCAGAGCAGCAGATATACAGCAGGTATATAGAAAATATACAACACGGGCCAGTAGTGCTCCAGTGGTGTTCCTGTTCTCCATTATTACTGCTCATCCTGCGCTGTTCAACCAACAGAGCAGCAGTTTTATGGCGGCAACACAACCGGAGATTACATCCACTTTATCACTCAGGAATCCATGCAGACTGTCTGCCATGGCTGCACATGTCAATTATCCAGAAAATGAATAACAAGCATTGAAACATTAGTGCATACAGCTCCAAAATTTAAATTCATATTTTGTCATGTTAGAAATATCAATTTATCTATTTTTATTTTGTATTTTATGCAAGGAAGACTCTTTAGTTTTCTTTCTTTTTTTAATAAAAATGTGGCAAGCATAATTCACTCCCTTATTAATTAAAGGTCTAGCCTTTGACTAGGCCAATAGTGCCCAAAGTCAGTCCTCAGGAGTCGGCGTCCTGCACGTTTTAGTTCTCTCTCTGGTTGTAGTAACAACCGTTTCAGCATGTCGGTGTTCTTCTTAGGGCTTCTAGTGAGCCTTCATTTGATCCAGGCAACATTGAAGTGGGTTTAAATCAGAACATAAAAATGTTCAGATTTTAACCATATCATTGCAACTCTGGCTGAATGTTTGGGGTTGTTGTCTTTCAAGATGAATATCAGCCTATAATAGTTTTCTTGCCCTTTACTTTTCTCCTGCCATCACCTCATACCCATGATTTTGACCCAGATGGAGAAAATCTTTCCCACAGCATGATGCTGGCACATCCATTTATTTTTTTTTATTTTTTTTTGCATGTAAGCCGGAAATGTTCCTGACCTGTCTGCTGTGGTCCTCTGGGGTCTTCATGTTCTTTAACAAACCTCTGAGGGCTTCATAGAGCAGCTGCATTTACACTGAGATTTCATCCCAACACACTTAGATTCTACTCAAGTCTAGCTTTTAAAATCTCAATGAAATACAAAAAGCTTAAGCGGTATAAATACTTCTGTGTCACATGTTTTGTGACTGTGTTTATCTGGTGACACTTTTTCTGTTTTATTCCTCAGCCTAAGACTACAGACTGTTCCTCTTCACCACCAGTGCCTCACCTGTGCTTGAAGCTGTCCAAACATCAGGGAACAAAGTTACGGAAGAATACCTCTGGACACAAGGGCACAAAGCAAGAAACGAGAAGCACAAAGTGGCAGCTGAACTCTCCACGAAGGAGCCATTCAGCGAAGATGCCAACAAAACACACTAAGACCCAAAATGGCCGTGCAACGCGGTCGCCTTCAAGGAATCAGCGGCTAGTTAAAGGTGGTCCTGCGGGTGTTCTGGTTACAGCTGCAAACCGCAAATCCCACAGTGCACCGTTGCCCCAGCTACCTACATGCAGAGAACTGGATTCATCTCCCTGCAGCGATGTGCCAGCTGTGCAGTGTGGCGGTCAACGTCTGCAGCCCACAGGGCTCCATGCTGGTGAAGGTGTAGCTCCGTGTCTTGCTGGAGCTTTGGTGGGCTCAGTGACCAATCAGATATCAGCCATTCACCTCACCAAGGAAGGACAGCCTTCCTCCACTTCAACTCAGTCTCTGTACTCATCCTCATCAGTGACAGAGGAGCAGCTGATGAGGTGAGTCAATGGTTTTAATCATTGTTTTTGTTTTGATCCACTTAACTTGGAGGGTCTCATTCTCGCCTTGTTCTTCCAGCTTGGAGTGTGTGATGCAGGTGGATGGAATGGAGGAGGAGCTTCCAGATGAGCTGGAAAATGCCTTCAGTGATGATGGTGAGTTCATTAAAAGTATATTTTATTACCTGATTTATTGTTTAGACAGTTAAGCAGAGTTTCCCCAAGAAAACTTACTTAGCCCGGTGGTCAGGGTGCCGAGGCGGTCCACCGTGTTTTTGTATTAAAAGATGTTAAGTAGACAGGAAATGTAAAAAATATTACTGGGTAATTATATTAATTGCACTTCAGCATAACATAAATTAAAAGATTTTAAATTAACATTTAAATGTAAGATTTTAAAGAGCTGGCATGTGTACTTTGTAAAAGTTCAAAGAACAATATTCATAGTTAGATTGTTTTGTTACCATAGCTACAATCTGATGCT